TTTTTAAACACTGAGTATCAATTTTTTTGTTATGAGACTTTGCAGAAATGTGTTTGTTGCCTAGAAGCAACATTGTGCGACAGAGGAATGGATTTAGCCAGTCACCAGCCGGATCTCACCACTTCAGGGAACATGGCTCTATATCATTTCTTTCCATTGCTGCACAATGTTGCCAAGACAGCATACTCCAAAAGGACCTCTGCACACATTTTTTTATGTTTTTGAATTTAATAATGGGGTTCAAAAATAAATCAAGGATCATTTTATTCAAGAAAAGTTAACTGATTTTCTTGTTTTTTTTAATTCCTCTCATAATCCGTGCAGTAGAGGGTCCAATTAAACAGGACTGATTAGGCTCTCCTAGTGATTAAACATGCAGTTGTTCAGCGTTCAACCTTAAAATACTGATGATACCCACAGTACGCTAAGAAAAGAATATTGCCCACCCCCAAGTGCTACAAAGAATTTTGTCGAAAATGTAGTCAAAATCAGCTTTTTTTTTCCTCTTTTTTTACTTTAGATGCAATCAAAGGCAATGGCATTTTAAATAGAATAGTGATTATTTGTCTAATCTTGATTTCAATAGAAGAGAGCCTGCTCTGCACACGTGCTGTCTACTGAACATCAGAGGAAAAAAAAGTAGGCCATGCTGAAGCTTACCTTGTTTTTGCAAATTCAAAATATATTCCATTTCTGAAAAAGAACAAAAAGGATATTAATTATAAAAACGCACAAGTTATGAAGTAATGTCTGTGTACTTGTCCATTTGACTTGAGTTTCTATTTGTAAAAAATAAATAAATAAACAAATAAATTAAAATGGGACTGCACAATACTACTGGTAATTTTAGGAAGCCTACATATTCAATTTTTCAAATATGCAGAACACACCAAGGGTCAAAACGTTTCATAGGAAAAAACGTGTTTCAAAGGGCACGTAACAAACAAGGCTTATAGAAACTTTTCCAAGATTAATGGTAGTAGTGGGTGGTATTTATGTCACTGTATGATCTAAATTTCTGCCAGTTATGGTATATGTATATGTCTGTGTGAGATTGTTTTTCCCCTCTCAAATAAAACCATTTCAGTAAGTTAATCTATTTTTGTTTACTATTCCAGCATGTCCCTTTACATTTTAATTAGAGCCACTTTTAACAACCAAACAAAATCTCAAATATTTGCATTGTGCAAAACAGCAGAAACAAAACTGAACGCTACATAGATAAATCTGTCAACATTGCCTGGGAAAAGCAGCGGTAAACATTGTTTTATGAATTTTTCAATTCTGATTTGTACAAGGTTGAAGTTAGCTTCTCATTTAATAGATTTTTGTTTGAATTTTCCGTTCTACCTTAAAGTGAGTCACAGTTATATACTGGCTTATGCAGTTGCATACAGGCTGCTGAATATAGTCGCTGCACCATTTAAGGTGGAACTGGAAATCTGAATAAAAAGCTAACTTTTAAGCTAAGTCGTTTATCTTTTCTGTGCATACCAAACCCTCATGCCTCTGACCGCCAGACACTGCTGTAATTCAGAAAATATTAGTTATTTAAGTTTCAGTTACAGCAGTTCCATGGCTTGCCGAATGGACAAGGCCCTGACTGCAGTGGCGTTTGATGTAGCTGACTGAGTCAGGTGGCTTCTCAGGCTGTATGAAAGGGAACAGAAGCACAGCAATCACTCTGGTGTCTATGTTAGGTTAGGGCTAACCCCAAAAGCCTGGATATTCCATTATGTCCACTGTCTTGGAAACAAAGTGGACTACTTCAAATGGACTAGACAAAGGGAGGTGATCAAGAGACTGCAGCGTTTTCATTTTTATTTGAAACATGACCAACTTCCCTGGTAAAACCACTTACCTAAACGACTAACGTTAGCATGGTTTGCGCCATTTGTATGTTGCATTATCTGCACTAATGTATGTCATACCGGTATAACTATTAAGGCAAAATTTATTCTTAAAATTTTTCAACCGGTATACCATCCACTACCAGTCAAAAACCTTGTATAAAAACTGATATTTAAATTATTATTTTTTAAGTTATTTAAAACAGATGTCTGTATATCAGCCTATGCTATCTATGAGTCATCAAAAACAAATTTGCCCAACTGATCAAAGTGATGGTGGTCACCTTTAGTGTGATATACTACAGCAGCTTTCAGATCAAATAACCCCCAGCTGGACCTCCTGTCGAAGCCCTTAGTGTGGCCCTGCTCTCTGGCCAAAGACACCTTGGGTGCAGCTGGAGAGGTGCGTGTCAGCTCAGCACCAATGTCCTTAGAGGAAGAGCAAAACACTATTGCACCAGGAACCGCTGCCTCATCCTTTTGTGAGTCCAGTCCGAGGCTAGAGGCCTGAGGCAAGCCTTCAACAGCAGACCCACTGGCCGCAGAGAGGACGAGGTTTACACCTTTGCTCAGTGTCTCAGCACTAGTCCGTTTGTCCAGCTCGTAAGCCTTGGGGAAAGGTGGCTGATCCAGTCTCTGCGAGGCGCTGGATGTCTGCATCACCACAGTGGCAGGGCAGCCTCCTTGAAAGCTCACCTCCACAGGTTTGTCCTTTGCAGCGGAGTGGGAAACCAAGCCCTCAGGGCCAGCACTGGGCTCATTGATGAAAGACAAACCCCACTGGTTCTGGAAAATGTCCCCCAGAGACTTCTGATTTGTTGTGGTAGCAGGAGGGTCGGCCTGTCGGCCGCTGGGCAAAGACAGTTGCATACTGGATTGGGTGAGGGGGTAAACAAACAAGTTAGGCTTTCTGGGCTCAGCCGCTGAAGGGGTGGTGGAGGTGGTAGTGCTGCCAGAGGGTGATGCTACATTATCAGCACCGGCAGAGGAGGAGGCCAGCACGGGGGCTGAACTGGCCACTGAGCTAAAATGTGTACCAGGTAGCGGGCAGCCGTTGCCTTCCCCCGCTAGAGGGCCGTTGGTAAAGCTAGCCGAGGTGATGGTCTTCACCGCAGACATGGGGACCTGTGAGGGTCTCCCAGGCACCTGGGGAGCAGGAGAGAGAGCCTCTCCACCAGCTTGGGCTGTCTTATTGAGGTTCTCCTTCACTTTGCTTGCATAACTGATCTTAGGCACTATTTTAGCGCTACTATTGTCCACAGGAAAGACAGGCGGAGGCTTGAACAAAGTCCATGAGTCCTCTTTGGTGGATGCAGCCACCTTCACTTTGCTGGACTTATCCTCAAATTTTTTACCCGACGTTTTGCTGTCTGAGTTTTTACGGTGAACCTCAGACGTGAGTTGGGTAGTGGTACCAGATGCAGGCACCTCTCTGGCTTTTGTAGAGCCACCAGGATGGATGTCTGCCTTTGAGGCAGCTCGGCCAAGGTCCACCTGTGGCCCTGATGTTCTATCAGCTGGTTCTTGAGCCGTGGGCCCTGGATCTTGCTTGTTGGCCGGCTGCATGGCCTTCCCATAGGCAGAGGCAGTCACATTGTCCACAGTCTTCCCGTTCCGCTGGGCCCGGCGCTTTTTTGGCGTGGTGTAACCGCTTTCTGACCCGCTACCATCGTTGTCAGTGCCAGGTTTGCCAGGATAACCGTTGGTAAGCAGACCACAGTTGAGTGTCACCACGCCATTCAGAGACGTCAAGGCCTCCTTTTTGCCCTCATGTGTAATCACCTCTGAGGGCTTGTCATTTTTGTAGTCCATGCTGTTTCTACTAGTGTTATTGCCTTTCCCTTCCCCCTTCAGGGCAGTGTTCAAGGCCTGTCCAGAAGGCTTTCGTTTCAAGTTGGTTTCTAGTAGGACTTTGTCACCATTGTGGCTCACAGAGTGCAGATAGCCGTGTGAGTCAAGGGAAGTGGGAGTCTCCTCTCCCTCAACTATAGATCCATTTACTTTTCCATTTTCTGTGAGTAAAAGAGGAGACACAGGCAATTAAAATACAATCAACCAAGTCAAATAATTAACAGAAAGACCAAGCAGTGTCAGCACAAATCTAAACCAGCTTTCAAGCTGCAACAAGGGAGCAGGCCGAGTCTAGTCAATGTTTGTGAGAGGAGCCTGAATATTTGGACTAGATATGTTTGATGGCAGAGGGCCAGGGTCATGTGGATTACTGGCTTACATCTGTAACACATAGATTGAGAAACACCCCCGTCATATAGGACAGTTGGAAAAGGGATTTTTGATCAGCTTGACGCTTGAAATTAATAAACGTAAAGGTGTGAACTAAACTTAAAAAAAAAAAAGACACTATTTTGATGATGTGCAATATATCAACCAAAATACTGCCATTTAAAACATCTAATGGGGGCATCTGAGAGAGGCACCTGCATGCCTCATTTTTGACGTGCCATTAGGATTTCCATACAGTGAGTATGGAAATTTCTACAAGCTGTAGAGCTGACAAATGTCCAGCTTAGAAAAGCTGAAGACTGCTAATGAAAATATCACACTACACCAGAGCTGCATAGCTTTCTAGAGCCTGTTTACACTGTTTTATACAACAACAAGCTGTAAGGGACGCAGACTGATGCAACGTAACAACTGTCATGAACCAACACAAGACTCTTCCCTACTTCTGTCATTTGAAACTGAAAACACTAAGGCCAAACAGCAACGTAGCCCTCCTGTGAGTCTCCTTTCACTGCCCCATGATATCCTAACTTCACCCTATTTTTAAACTGGAGGTATGACGTGTCATCATGGAGCTCAGTCATATTTGGGTTGTTCTTTGACCGGAGACTGATCATCACGAGCAACAACACTAGGACACCCAAAATCTCACACACCAATTAATGCTCAGAACTTAACAACACATCAACCCAGTTGTGATCGCCTCTGTTACAAGTAGCTGCACAAAGCGAGAATTTGTAAACCGGCTAACGTTAGATGCTAACCGACTTTGCGAGCTATCACAATATGTATGACTTGCACAAGTTGTCTGAACTAAAGCAAACACCATTGCACTGTAGTTCTGTGCGGTTTACTGTTATAAACCTGGTCAAAGCTGGTTGGACACTTCAAAATGAGAATTTATTGTAGGTCAACGTTACTGTACATCACTCGCAAGCACTGTGTTTTCGACGACGGACGGCAAATGAGCCAGGTTAGCCAGCTGTCCCATTTTCGTAACGCTGGTTTCATTAAAAGATAATGGTTTAGTTCGTTCAGTGTTGAGATAGCTAACCTCGCTAACCTAGCAAGCTAGACAAGCGAAGTTTGTCGTCGCTGGCATTGGGTCAACTTAGCTAGCTAGCTAGCTAGCTAACGTTATCAGTGTCAAAGACAGTAAAGTTGGCTGGCAGCTAATCTAGTTAGCAGCAGTCTGACTGGACATATTTCTTTGGCTAACGGGGACAATTAAAGCAGTAAAATGCCGTTTTACGGATACAATGCGCTGTTTTAGAGCGAATGGATCCGTGTCTTTCAGTAAAAAACAGCTAAGAAACCCTAAAAGACCCTCGTTTGCATTTGCAGTGTGACTGTCAGGCCCACTCACATGACTGCTACAGCAACAGGCCCTGTTAGACGAAGCTGAAGTCAGTTGTTGTTCGAATTTTTCCGTTCTACCTTAAATGGCGCGGCAGTTACATTCAGGCGCCGGAGGCTACAGAATGTATCTGTTGCACTATTTAAGGTGGAACGGGAAGGTTCGAACAAGAAGCTGGCGAATTGGAAGCCAACTTCAACCTCGTCCCTGCTCGTTCGCTAGCATGCTAGCTAACGTATTCTAGGTTTGGCCTCAAATGTCCGTCATTTGTCTACACTGCCATTTATTTGTGGACATTACTTACACATCTTATGCGTTTGTTAAAAACGAACAGTATACGCTCGTATGAATAACGTGTTCGTGAGCTTGTCCACTCGGCAGGTACCGTTAGCTGGCTGTCTAAAGCTACAGTTAAATTAGTCGGAGCCGGGTTTAGCGTTGCTGTGGAAACGAAGCTAAGAAGCTAAGGCAGCGAGCTCATTCATCTGTCTAAATCAACCTCTCTCCCGGCGAAAAACATCACCTTTTCATATCGAAGGTCCTCTTTGTCGCACGCCAAACATACAGAAGTACATGTGACGCTGATCGAAAAAGAAATCGCTGTGTTTTGGGCTGAAGCCGGCGCACAAGGTCAATGTCCACACTACGCTAGCCAGCCAGCTAATAACACAACCGGCTACCATAACTGCCGAAATGTCGACGACAGGCATCAGTCAAAGCCCCAAACACAGCTGATCGGCAAGTCACGCCACGCCATGAGCTTACAGTTCCTAGTCGAAGTGACTATGCGTCGATTTCCGAAGTTTAGTTAAGGTGAGAGGACTTGCTATCCAGTGAGCCAGCTAAGTTAACCTAGCTTGGTAGCTAGATTAGCATTGCATTGCATTGCCTCGCATTGCATTCCACCAACCTGTTTTCTTCGTCTGCGTTTCCTCGTCCTGGAGCTGACAGCAGCTTTGATCATTGTTCACCGATAATTTCGACAGATCTGACCCATTCCCTGCTCCGACACTGAGATATATCGCAATCGTCGCCCCCACGGAGGGCCGCTCCTCCATTTAAGAGCACAGGGAGTGAATAAATGTGCCCGGCCGGAGGGGGGTTGTAGTGCAGCAGGGCAGAAGTGGAGACATTGGCGAAGCCCAATCCAGCGCTGCCTGGGCGGCGTTTAGTGCCTCTTCTGTGTAAAAAAATGCATGCAAATGCAAATTCAAATGTGTAAGCTCGGCTCAGACTGTAATGGGAAACACACACAGCAAACCAACCATTTAAAATACACTTTCTGAGGTTTTGTTCTGTATGTTTCCCATTACAGTATGAAAAAAAAATGCAGAGAATGTTTTCTCAGTTAAATCGGGTAACTGAAAGTCATGGGTCATCAAAAAAATCCAATTTACACAGTGTTTCTCTTACCACAAATGTAGTCGGTTGACCAAGACATGTTTAGCATGTTTTCATCTTGAGTTCTGCACTGCAGATGAAATATGTTGGGTGATATAGATGTCAATTGCAGTAGCCTTGTAGTTCTGCACCAAAAGTAGGGAATCAAACTTCAGACACCAAACATGTCTTGGCCAAGCGACTACATGTGGGCTCAGAAGAAAACTGTGCAAACATGATTTTTCAGTAAACCATTCCTTTAAACCAAAAGTGAGGTTTGCCCCAGTATGCCCATAAATCTTGAATTATGATTTAGCTAACTGAGAAATTCTGCTTTATGAAGCACTGCCAGCAAGTAAATGTCCATCAGATGAGCGCAGATACATTTTCAGGAATATGCCTTGATTTACTGATGCTAGATTAGTATGTACGTTTTATACCATGTTCAGCTTCAGTACAGGGAAGTCTCACTGCACATATTTAAGTTTTGGAGATTTTGGATTTATTTATGGTGAGCCCAAACCAGAACCAACCAAACCAGAAAAAGCTGTGATTAAGGCCCATAAACAGGCCCAAAGAACTGACAGGCATCAAGCTGTCTGACCTGTATGTGGTTAGTCTGTATATCCTATATCCACTCAATTGCTAGGTTCCAGTAGAGCGGAAGGGTCACACTCAAAAACATTGGTTCTTAAAGGCTTCTTTAGTAAAGAAAATGGTTCTATATAGAACCATGAACACTCAAAGAATCCTTTGCATGATTAAACATTTCTGTGCATCATGAAAGGGTTCTTCATGTTGATGGAAAATGTGCTGTGTATGATTGTATATAAAACCTTTTAGAACCCTTTTTGGTGCTATATTGAACCATAGACCCATCTACAGCACATTCTCCATCAGTCGGTAGAAGTCTTTCACGATGCAAAGAACTCTTTAACCATGCAAAGGATTCTTTGAGTGTTCATGTATAGAACTAATTTCTTTATTAAAGAGCCTTTGAAGAGCCATCATTTTACCTTGGTTACCTTGTTTTCCACCGTTGCATATTTGATTATGTGATTGTACTGCAATAAATAAATGACCATCATATCAGTTTAGTTTACAAATCCTGCTCTAATTTATATCCAGCTTAATGTTTTATATGCAAAACCTGGGCAAAGCAATTCGGCCCCTTCCTTGTATTGTTATTACACACCACCATCCTAGTTTTGTACTGATTCTGATCTGTATTGTTGCTGGTTCACCAGAGGAGGGCAGTCAATGCTCTCTTACAGTTACAGATAAGAGAGGTTAGTGCTGTGAATAGTCATGCCAGCATGCTGAGAACACTGACATGGATTTATGCACTGCTCAAAAGTGTATCACATTTCTGATTTTATAACAGTAATTATAACGATTGTGGTATATCTGACACACTGTGAACCAGTTTACTAGTAAAAAAGACATTCTACAGACATTGTTACCGTGTACAAGAATGTAGTCAAACATTTTTAGACAAGGTAATGCTTACTCGCCTACTACTCTCAGAGGCTAAAACATTATGGATTGTATAAGGCAGTCAGGCTTTTATTTCCAAGGAAATATGGGGCCTGTTTCCTAGTCATGGATTAACACCTTGAACTCCAAGAAACCACGGGCAGTTAAAGGCTTAATTTTCTTACTCTTATAACTACATAACTTGCATATTATTTACAACATAGTGACTGAATAATAAGCCTAAGGTAAGTCTCCCAGACATGGATTAAACCTAGTCTTGGACTGCATTTTCTTTCACTGGAGAATCCCCATTCAGAATGCTGCCTAGTCCAAGACTAGGCCTAATCCCCGTTTCAGAAACCAACACCTAGTTTAAGGGGTTAAGTCTATCCTGGGACTAAAGTGCAAGACTAATCATGTCAATCATTTACCACTGTAAACCATTCCCTTTTAGTTTGATTTTAAACTTGACCTGTACATGTTAAACTGAAATTTAAGGCAAGTTACCATATTTAATATGCATGAAGTTCATATTACAGTAAACTGTCTTATCTTCCTAACACAAAATGAATACTTCTTTTGACTAACACTGACCAAAAATCGTTTCCTGCTGACCATTTGACATAAGCAGATTCCTTGTAACAGGACGGGAACTTCTCAAACTATCTTTAGGATCCACTGCCAAGTCAGAAGGGTTCAGATTTCTGAGGATATCATGATGGACACTGGCTTCTGTGAACTCCTCTTGGAAGTACACAAGAACTTGCCTCCTGAAACACGGGTAATTTTAGACACTAAGTGTAACAAGACCTTTGAGCAACACTGTTCAAAGCATTTAACTCTGTATCTGTGGGTTAAATATGTTTTTGTTTTTCAATCATTGCAGGTTTTTGCTCTTTTGGGCTTTGGTGAGCATTCACAGTCTCCCGTTTCTCTTGCTGCTTGTGGGAATGGCATCATGAACTTCTAAACAGGGCTGGTGCATAAACACCGTCAGTATGATTATAGTGTTTGTTGCAATGGAATGTGGACTGACAGTGTAGTGAGAATGTTTGAGGATGTTGTAATGTGTTTTTCCCTTTAAATGACCTTTTTACTCTTTTTTACTACATTCAGGATTATATGGACTTTTAGAATTATGGGAGCAAATTGCAAACATGAAGAAGACATTATCCACAGAACTTCTGACAGGTGTTTCCTGGCTAAACTGGATAAGAATAGGCAGTGAAGGTGGGGTAATTACACTGGGACCCATAGCATGGGTCTGCCATATCATGGGGGGACCTTTGGCAACCAGACCCCATAACAAGTTTTTTGGATGTCTTATATCTTTCCCCCGCGACCCAGAAGGATAAGCGGCTTAGAAGATGTGTGTGTATATATCTTTCTTCTTTATGGAAATTCACACCAATGGCTATGATAATTTAATAATATGCCTAAACGGTTAGCCTACATCAGCATTCTATAAACAATCTGTTTATCCTCCCTCATGATACCTTGTAACCTCTCTGTTCATGATGTATCTCATCCATGGTGGCCTTTCCAAATCGATCCTTTAACACTGCAAAATCTAGTCATTATTTTTATCTCTCAAAACATAAAAGATCAAAATAATTAAATTCAACACTATATCAGAGTATGTGTATTGTACCATGTAAGTATGTGTGTTGTACCATGTTGCACTGTAACGTTTCAGGTAAATGTACAGGTGGTACAGAGACCACACTTTTATTTATTTAATGTCCAGTCAAAAAGCCATTAAGTAGAAGTTATTCATTTTTCAGCATCAGGAAAAAAAAGCAAAAGACATATATTTAACAGAAAATCTTCCAGAAGCCTCACCAACTAAATAGAAAATCAATTCATTTTTCAGTATTTAGTGTGTCCACTCTTTGCCTGTATTACAGCTTCCATTCTTTTTGAGGCACTTGCTTTCAGTTTTTCAAAGAAATCTGCAGAGATATTTTTCAGTCTTTTCACCGTCCACATAATCACAAACACATTCTGTGATGTTGAGGTCTGGACTCTGGGGTGGTCACTCTATTGTTCTGAGAACACCAGCAGCTTCTTTGTTTGATTTGCAATTATCTCTTCTTTTTTGTCTATTTTATTTTCTCAGTGAGGCTTCTTGACAGCTACACATCCTTTCAGACCCATAGCAATGAGTCTTTCCACAGTGGAAGGATGTTGGAGGAGAAAAACGCCTGTGAAGTTTTTTCAGACCTGAATCAAGAGCGGAGCTTGATTTTCTCCTGTATCTCAAAGACGAAAGATTTAAGTACTGTTTATCTCATGTGGATAGTTTTGATAGTTCACCATATCTGCATTTTAACCTTTTTCCTTTAACTTTCCCCTTTCTTATGCATGTTTCTTATCCTCTTTCTTATTAAGTGTATTATTATTATTATTATTATTATTATTATTATCATCTAATCTCCTCAGAAACAATTCCTGAAAGATGGACAATGTGTACTTATTGGCTGCTTTTACTGAGAACTGCACAGTAATGTATGTAACCAAACAAATAAGATTAAATTTTTTTTTGTCGTTGTTCAAGGAAATTGTTGTATGGGGGCTTGTTACATTTTTTGCTCTATAAAACCCTGGTTATGTCACTGGGACCAAGTTATTACACACCAAAAGGATCAGCTTTCTTGCAGAAGTGATCTGAATATTTGTGTTCACATTTCCTGGATAAGAAGCCTCCTTTCTGTTCTTTTTTTGGCTGCATACACAAAGCCCAGGTGTAGCATGTGTATAGAGCTGTTTTAACCCATCACATTATTTTAATTGACCAATCTAAGCCCAGTGCACAAGACAGTTATTGTATTGGAACACGACAAATAGTCTATAACAAGAAGTCACTGCCTGGTATTGTACAGCAAGAGGTGCTGAGATAAGAAAGATTTTTTTACGTTATATCCAGTGTAAAGATTCAGACGAATTAGGTGCATACAGTTTTGTCAAATATAATTAAAAAATCTAAACCATGAAAGAGAAAAGCCGACATAGACTACCTCACATTCCTCAGCCACAACAAAGACAAACTACAAGACATGTCATCACAGCTAAAACTCGTCAAACATAGACTGCTCTCATGCTGTCAGGCTGAGCATAAATCAGGGCCTTACTAATGTTATCCATGAGTGAAAGGTTCCTGCGTTTAAGTGGTTCAAGTAATGTTAGGCCATTCTCTCTCGGCCAACTAGCCCTAAGCAAAACACTGTGCCATAGGAAGGCCAGCGGTGATGTCTTATGGCATACCCTGTCAACAGAGTCAATCAGTGTCATTGACGGATCATATTTCACGCGTCTGGAATGCAACAACACTTTGTAGCAAGGCACTGTTAGTGGAGAAAGTGCAGTTCTTTTTTTATTTGACAATCCAATTGTCTAATTTATGGAATTATACAGTGAGCTCATTTTGGTAAAGGCAAATGGAAATCATCACCAGAGCTTTCTTCTTGTCAGATGTGTTTAGTTGTCTTGATGGCTTTCTCCATGGAGACGAACCCATCACAAAGACCTCAGACTTTCTGACAATAAAACGACTCATCGCAGACTGTTAGCGTGTCATCTTACACAGTAATCATGCTTTGCTGCATACACACAGTAGATCACAGCAGTTGCAGTAAAGACTTGATGTAGCAGTAAGGATAGGCTGACTTTCTGGCTTCATTTGAAGTGGAAGAGGTGGTGGTGTAGACAGTGTTGGGTGGTGTGTTTATTCTAGTGGAGAAATGGACAGAAAATCCCAATAGCCTATTGAATCGCACACCTTTTTTTTCAAGGAAAATATAACAAAACAGCAGAGACTTCACCTTTCAGAATTTCCTAAATGGAATGCACAAGTAACGCATTTGTGAACTGGCAAGCAAAATGCAGGTTTGCTTTTGGTCTCCGTTAAACAGTGTCTAAAAGCTACCGCACAGGACATTATTGCATAACATGGTTATGAATATGTTGCCTGAAGCCTGAGACATTGTTTCAGTTTCACGGTTTTGAGATAAGATTTTGTTCTACAACATATTTTTAAAATATTTACAATCATGTGAAAAGGTTTAGGCACCCCTGGTCAAATTGCATTTGTTGATTTTCAAAATAAAACTAAATACACATCCTCTCCATAGAACACACGTCTACATGTTTTAATACAAAACTACTGTTTATTTGCTGAATATAACATTGGGGGAAAAACAAAACATAAAACGTGATCTGTTAAAAGTTTTTGTTTTACTTTTGCCAGTATGTTAAAAAAATGTGCAGTAAAATTGATGAAAAATGTCATATTTAAGTTTGTTCTCTGTAGAGGATGTGTTAACTTATTTTCACTTCACATTTCAAAATCAGCAAAATATCTGATTTAACCAGGGGTGTTCAAACTTTTGCATTTGATGCAAGGTGTTCTATGGCAAAATACCCCTCAGAAATATATATATATATATATATATATAATATATATAATATATATATAAATAATATATATATATATATATATATATATTTTTTTATTTTTTTATTATTATTATTTACCAGTATTGGACCATCTCAGTATACGTGTAGGTTCACTGATAATTTTGGATACCACCACTGTACAAAACCAAAGGTTTCTCTATAGTGCACCATTTCACATCAAACCAGGCTTTGTATTTATTTTAATAAGGCGGAAATTCCAGTAAAAACCATGGAGTTCCCCTTTAATGGGATTTTCACTAATGTTTCTTTCTTTTTCTCCGAAATGCTGAAAAAGTCTGAAGAAACAATGGCTTTGTAGGCGGACCTTGGATTTGAGTTAAATTTGTTGTTACATGGAATTTATCTCTGCATTGGTCAGACCTGTAAAATATTCAACCCAAACAGTGGCTTTAATTGGCATTTAATCCAATATAAGAGTGAATCACTTCTGGTCCTTTCTTACTGCTCCTCCATCTCCCCTCCACAGACAGAGGTCTATCAAGCAGTCAGCTCTATGGACAATGAGTCACTGAATGGAAAAGGGAATCTACTCCTCCTCCCCCGACAAGACAGGACACCCACCCGTATCATAAGCTCATCCCGCCTCTGCCAGAGGACAGGCTGCTGTGCCAACAAACCAGCTAGTGGAGCGGAGATCAGGGACAGACGTGTGCCGACAATGTACTGTTGTATTTTTTTTTTTACAAGGCCCTTGAATAGAGGGCTCAGGAGGTCCCAGACATTTCCATTACACCATTACACTTGCCTGCAGCTATCACTTTTAGGAGTTTGGGAACCCCCTAAATGAATACCCATGATTTGATTAAAGAAAACAAGCGGAATCAATTAGGAAGCCCCTGATAAGCAAGTGCTGGTGGCCAGAGAGGCGTTAATTAGATGTTGTGCTCTGTAAGTGAGATGTTTTTGTTTAGACATTGTTAATGTTGTAGATTAAATTACAAAGGTTTGAGTGTGTTAAATTAAAGAAATAACAAGTAATTGGTGTGTGGTCCTGTTGTTCATCACTAATACAATAGCTAATTTAAAAAAGGCCTTGCCAGAACCACCAAACAGAAAGTAAGGAAACAGAGTGCTGTGGTAAAGTATGATAAAAATATCATATTTAAAATTATAGTATTAGAAATTCAGAGTACTTTACTATGTTACTAAATAAGGTTGATTACTTAGTTTTTTCCTACACCCCCATATTACTATTACACACTCTTTAAAAACATGGCTGTTCAAGGGGTCTTCAATAAAGCCAATGGTTCTATATAGAACAATGAACACTAAGAACTATTTGCATGCTTGAAGAGTTGTTTGCATGCTGAAATGGTTCCTCAGATTGATTGATAATGGAGAATGTTGTACATGGTTCTATATAGAATCTTTTTGAAAAGGGTTCTATATGGCAAAATATGGTTCTTCTATTCTTACAAGCTTGACATTGTGATAGAAAAACTCTTGTCACAAAGGTTCCACATAGAACCATATATTCTCCATCTATCTGAAGAACCATTTCACCATGCAAAGAACCATGTAAGCATGTGCTCCTATATAGAACCATTGTCGTTACTGAGGAACCCTTGAACAACCATCTTTTTTAAGAGCGTACACTCAAAAATCATTCTTTACCTAAACTTAATTGAATTATGAAAATAAATTCCACACAAATGGCTATCTTTCAAAATAAGGCAATTTTGTTGATCCAAGATAATTTACTAAGATTGATTGAACTTAATCTGCTATTACATTTCCAATTCAACTCATTAAGGTTCTTTGAGCTCGATTTATTAGTGTTGACTTATGTTAGTTCAACTTATCTCACTAGACTTGACCATTAAAATGGTCACTGCAGTGCCCAGTCAGTTCAGAAGCACACTCATCAAAACACAATATGGTAATGCACCCAAAAATAACAATGCTAGACAATCAACTAATATACAGAATGTAACCATACACAATAGAAGATAGCCCAGGACCAAAGACAATGCAGAGACTGTAAGTAAAACAAGGGGCCTAATATGCAAATAGATGGAGCCAGGAGCCAATAAAATCTAGTCTCTCTCTAGTGCCAATCTCTCCAGTAGCTAAAGGCAAAAGAGTAAACTACATTTCAAAGATTCAACTCAAACATCTGATTTACATGAAATCCCAATACATGAAATCATCAGAAATGTTCCCCTAAGTTAAAATAGCTGATTAATTACAGACTTCATTTATAACAGACTAATTTGAATATGTGCCTCATGACACCAGGTGGAAATCCCTTGAAACTTCGAAAAACACAATTCATTCTCTTTGATTTGACTTGATTCACTTTGGCTGATTAATGTCCAGGATAATTAAATTCTTTTAACACTAATTCTTTCAGTACATTTTAAAAATGGCTCAATTCAATTAATATCAGCTTGATTTGTTTTCTCAACACAATAAGAGCCAGTTCTATGTCCTTCAGCTATCCGAAGGGCTTCAGCTC